AGCACAACTGGAAGAGCGTAGTCAATGTCACTGAACTGTGTATGTAGAAATTTTTGAAACGGTGTATCTTTGGCTATGTGTATTTTCACCAAAAAAAAAAGCTTGAGAAGTTAGAGGGTTACTATGTTGTGGAGTTGTTAACCAGTGTCATAAAACAACATGTGTACTACTGTTTCATGAGAAACTATTTGTTCTGTAAGCCTTCACCTGAAGTGCAATAAAATATAAAAAAAAAGAAAAAAATAATAATATTTAGAACTGGAATTCACCTTAGATATCATCTAATCAAATATCATTTGATTATGAAACAGAGTTTTTCTAATTCTGCATTGATAGAACCTCAACAGGATCCATGGAGTAGAATGTACCCTTGGATTTTAAAGACACAAAACATAAACTTACTGATCAATTAATTGCTACATGACATGATGCTGTTGAACAAAATGTGGGCTCTGAAGGTTAAGGACTCAACTCAAGGTCAGAGTTCGGCTGAATGCAGAACCAAGTGTAAAACCCTACGCCCTTGCAAAGTCTAGTTTGCTCTCTCAGTTAGGATACAACCCTGTTCTTTAATGCTCCTTAACAATTAAAATGTAGCTTCACAAACAGAAAAGAGGGTATTTTCTAAATTAGTTCAAGCCCTACTGTATATTTAAAGAATTATTTATGTAAATATAAGCATCTAAGCACAGCTAAGTAGTCTTTTCATAGTTCTCGGACACACATGAGGTCACCGTAAGTAGGAATCAACTCAACAGCACCTAGTTTGGTTTGACTTTTGGTTCACTGATCTAAAATGTAGTGTTCACACTTTACCTGTTTGGCCTCATCATCCTCAGTGGCTTCACAAGTGTTCACAATTGCATCTTTCTTTGGCGGTCTTCTTTCCCCCAAAACCTTAATTCTATTGGCACCTTACCAAGGAGAAAGCCCCTCCTTCCTTCCCCCACCGTGCTCCTCCTCCACTCCTTTTATCTTCTAATTACTCCCCAAAACATTAAACAAAAAGCGGAAGAAGCCCATAGCAGCACCCCATGACAGCCTCCAAGGCATCTGAGATGAGCATTTCCTGTGAGGATAAGGGTGACGCACGGCCCCTCACTCCTCTTCTGGCTGTGCCTTTAATTTTCACGTAACTGCATCCCTCAGCCAGCACACACAGGATTAGCCCATTTGGGACACACAGCACAGAACAACCACCTTAAAAAAATAAGGTCCATTATGCCATTTTTCACAGAATTTAACTTTTCAAAAACAGAATGTAACAGCATTTTAAAATTAGAATTATTCCAAATAAGCCTATAATTCTGCATTTTGGAAAGACTTCTTTCTATGTTTGGTCATTTTTAATAACTTCCTCTAGAAGCCACGTAGGATAATTCACTAGCGTAACTATTTTCCATACAATAAAATGGAAACACAGTGAAGTGATTCCCCATAAAGCCAATTAGACTCAGGCAGTAAGCCCAGTTCTCATGAGTCATTGACTGATACCTTCCTAGTGAAACCTCTTCGTGATCAAGGGCTAAGACTTCATCACAACAGGTTACGTAAGTATGCAGTAGGAACACTGAACTCCAGGCCAGTGGCGGAATGCTGCCAGGTCCCACAGTGAAATCCCGTAAGAAGCCTGCCCTCTTGAGCATCCCCACAAACACAACCCCCCCGGCATAGTGGACACCCCTTTATTTGTCCTGCATGGTGGGCACCCCTTTATTCATGTCCCAGGCCCTGGGTCCCTGACCAAGGCAACTGAGGACTTTGGTGGACTCAAGACCTGTATTTTAAAATATATACTCATGTAACTTTTTAATGATAACTGCTCCCTGCCTGACAGATTAATTATACAAAAATATGTGCAAATTGTGCAGAACTGCGGGAAAATGCCTCTAATTTTGACAAAGAACGCTCCTGCACTATTCACTTTTGCCTTTCAGAGAAAATGCAGGTAAGTGAAATTCAAGAGCTTCCGACTGGCTTTATGTTGATCTACTTCTATTTAATCTCTGGCAGTAAGTTCACGATTTCCTCTACCAAATGCTTTCCAAAACTGAAAATACAAAGAGTAAGGTGAGGGGGCAGGGAATCTTGCAAAGATATAATGTTGGGCTCATGCCTCCTCCTTTTGGGTGTTTTATTCTTCCCCTTTGTTTCTGTTTCAAAATTTTTTATTTATCCAACTTTGTGACATAATTCTTATAATCAGTCAGACAGGTTTTACTCCAAATGTTAGCATAGGAGGGGGCTATAGAGATCACTGAGTCTAATCACTCATTTTATAGTAAGTAAATTGAGGTGCTGAGGTTAAGTGACTTGGCCGAGGCCACACAGTGAGTTTGTGTCAGGGGTCACACACCTGGTGGAACTTTCTTTGGTCTCCCAAATCATCCTACGCATTCAGTTGCCTAATCCCTAAGCTGACTCTTGGCTTGGCTGTCAGGTACTGTGAGGAATGCCAAAGAAACATTAAGACAAGTCTCTACTCTTGGATTGATTAAAGTCTTGTGTTAGTCCAGGTCCTCTAAGAAGCAGATGCCAAGACAGGATTAGAGATGCAAGAGATTTACTGGGGGAAATGCCTGTAAGGGGAAATGGGAAGGGAAGAGGTGGAGGCTGAGAGAGCTGTCAAAGCAAGCCCTGACCTCTATGAAGGAGAGGGAAGGAAGGAGGGAGAAAGAAAAGAAGGGAGGGAAGGAGGGAGGAAGGAAAGAAGAATGGTAGGGAAGAACAGAGAGAAGGAAGGTAGGACTGAGGGAGGAGGGTGTGAGGGAAGAAGAAAGGAAGGAAGGAAAGAAGGAAAGGAGATAGAGAAGGAGGGAGGGAAAAAGGAAGGATGAGAGAAAGAAGGAGAGAGGGAGGGAGGAAGGTCTTAGATTACACTGCATTCTTCAGAAAGTTTCGGCAAGGCTGATAGGGAATCACCAAAGACACCCATCAGAGGAGTCCTCTCTCCTAGGAAGAACGTGCCAGAGTACCTCTGCTGTGCTCAGCCACTAGCTGGGAGCAGCTGTGGGAAGGAAGCCTGCCCTTCGTACAAACACTGAGATGATTTTGAAGCACAGCAGCTGGGGCCATCCTTCAATTACACTCCCTGCAGCAGGAGATTGGGAGGTGCCTTTTCATGGCCTCTGTAATCCTACCTGGTAGTCAAGACTTAATCAAATGAAAAACATGTCTTTCAGCTCCTCAAAAGTAGTTTAAGTTTCCGTCCTGCCCTCTGGACTCTGCACCTCTCCCTCTGCAGTGTCCTCCTCACTGACCTGGCCGCTCTCCTTCCCCTTCATAGATGACTCCACAAGGGATGAATCTAGGTCCATGCAGGCCTTCTCTTGAGTTGCCCACTGAGCGTTCCTCTTCAAGACCGTGCTTCTGCTTCAGAATCGAACTCTGGGAAACCAGACTCATCATCACCTCCCAAAAAACCCTCCTCACTTCCCTTTTAGTGAAAGATCCCATCACCCAGACTCAAAACTTATCTCCTTGACTTTACCTTGCCCTATCCTCTCACATCCAAGCTTCTGACATGTGGACACTCTTCTTCTCTCCCCCCAGCCCCCACCCTCTCCTCTCCATCTTCGTGGCCATCACCCCAGTTCAGGCATCCTGGTCTAGTATCAGAGCTGCCTGGCTGCTCTTCTGGCCTTTGCTTCCTTCCCACATTAAGCTAACGGTTATTTGCAACATAAGTTGAAACTCACCTCCCCCCACCCCCCAAAATGTACAGCTCTTTCAAATTCCTCAAGTACTTCTACCTCTGAGACCCAGCTAGTTACCTTTTCATCTTTATGTCTACCGGAGACCTTGTATTCCTGCCAGTCTGGCCAACTTGCTTTTCTATGAACACATCTCTCTAGGTTCCTGCCTCTTTTGTTTATAAAGTCTCCCCTCTTGCTGCCACCGGTCAGGATCCCATCCTGTCTTAAAACCCTAATATCCCTAAGCCTTCCATGTAGCTCCTTTCACTCATGTCTCCAGCAAGAATTTGCCCACATTTCAATCCTGGCAATGCTTTTTCCACTCTTCTTATGAGACTTAGAATCATCTGTTGTGGTTTCCTGTAGGCTCATGTCCTCTACTTATAGCAACCTCCCTGTGGGTGGGGACCAGGCTTTACACACCAAACCACAACTGCCCACCCACAAGTATCTGCACCACATACTCTTCCTTCCCTCCTGTTACTATAGGTGAATTATCCAGGCCCCTACGTGGAGCTTCTCTCCACTTATGTGGTAGATGCCATCCTTTCTCACCTTCGCTAGAACTTAACTTAGCAGTTCTCACCTCTCCTACATCACCAAATTTCCTCTCCATGGGATAATTCCCACCAGCATACAAATGTGTTACTTCAGCCATCTTAAAAAAAAACAAAAACCTCCTAATTTCCCTGCCAGATACCTACTTTTCTCCTATTAGCTGGAAACTTTTGAAAAAGATCATCTATCTTGGCTGTTTCCAATGCCTCTCTTCCCATTTTCTCTTAAACCCACTCCAGTCAGGTTTTTGCCCCCACTGCTCACTAAAATTGTGAGGTTACCCATAACTCCACATAGATAAATCAAATGGTCAGTTCTTAGTGCCCTAGCAGTGTACTGGACACTGGTGATCCTCCTTCTACAAGGCATAACACAGTATATTTTACATAGTAGATGCTCAGAAAATGTTTGCTAAGTGATTAAACAAATGGAAGAAAGATAAAGTGCTAAATTATATGGCTTCACATTATAGGAAGCTTTGGTTTTATGCGTCCCTTTCTTATTTCCCCCTTTATCCCAGATGAAAGCATGATAGTATCTGTAATATTCTAAATACATCTCTGTCTTAGTCATCTAGTGCTGCCCTAACAGAAATACCACAAGTGGATGGCTTTAACAAAAAGAAGTTTATTCTCTCACGGTCCAATAGGCTACAAGTCCAAATTCAGGGCATCAGCTCCAGGGGAATGCTTTCTCTGTTGGCTCTGGAGGAAGGTCGGTGTCATCAATCTTCCCTTGGTCTGGGAGATTCTCTGCACAGGAACCTCAGGTCCAAAGGATGCACTCTGCTCCCGGCGCTGCTTTCTTGGTGGTATGAGGTTCCCATGTGTCTCTGCTCACTTCTCTCTTTTATATCTCAAAAGAGCTTGGCTTAAGACACTATCCAATCTTGTAGACCTCATCAGTATAACTGCCACTAATCCATCTTATTAGATCATAGTGATTGAATTTACAACACATAAGGAAATCACATCAGATTACAAAATGGTACACAATCATACAATACTGAGAATCATAACCCAACCAAGTTGACATATATTTTGGGGGGACACAATTCAATCCATGACACTCTACCCTTTGGCCCCCAAAAATTCATGTCCTTGCAACATGCAAAACATATTCATCTCATCACAGCAAAAGTCTTAACTCCAAGTCCAAAATCCACAAATCCCTCTTCATCTGTGAAATCCAGAATACAAGTTATCTGCTTCCAAGGGTACAATGGCAGAACAGGCACAAGCTAGAGATTTCCATTACAACTGGGAGAAATTGCAGGGAAAGAAGGGACAACAGGCACCAAGCAAGTCAGCAGAATACATTACATTAGCCCTCAAGGCTTTGTAAATAATCTTCTGTTCTCTGAGACAATTTGCACAATAGCCCTGCCTTCCAGACTCTAGGTATTGGCCACAGTCTCTGGATTCTGAGTGGAGGCTCCTCGGCCCCGGGCTTCAGCTCTGCCTTCCAGGCCCACAGGATGGCAACTCTGCTCCCTAGGCTTTAGGCGCACCATTCTACTAGTCCATCAGCGTGACAACTCCATCCTTAGAAACACCAGAGGCCATGGCTCCACCCTTTGAAACCCCTGAGGTCCTAGCCATACCTTTTGAGACTGAGGCAGCTCAGCTTCTTGTGTTCTTTGTCTCTTCAGCTTCTGCTTCCTGTGGCCTCTCGGCCCTCAGGCTGCATGCCCGCATTTGCCCTGCTGGGGCAAGTGTTCTAAAGCTCAGTAGCTCCACTGATAAGTGTCTGGAGGCACCCCACTCCGCCAGGAAGCCTCCTGCGTACAGGCACTTAGCTCTCTTGCTCTGTGGGTCAACTCCGGCGCCATCTTGCGCTGGTCTCCTGGTTCTGCTGCTGCTGGTTCTCTGCTGCTGCCCCTTCTCTGCTGCTGCAAGTTCTTTGCTATTGGTGATCCTCTGCCACTGCCACACCTCTATCCATTCACAGTTTCAAAACCACTTCCACATTTTAGGTATCTGTTAGAGCAGCACCCCACTCCCAGTACCAAATTCTGTCTTAGTCATCTAGTGCTGCTATAACAAAAATAACACAAGTGAATGGCTTTAACAAAAAGAAGTTTATTCTCTCACAGTCCAGTAAGCTGCAAGTCCAAATTCAGGGCATCAGCTCCAGGGGGATGCTTTCTCCGTCGGCTCTGGAGGAAGGTCCATGTCATCACTCTTCTCTTGGTCTGGGAGCTTCTCTGTGCAGTAACCTTAGGTCCAAAGGATGCACTCTGCTCCTGGCGCTGCTTTCTTGGTGGTATAAGTTTCCCATATGCCTCTGCTCGCTTCTCTCTTTTATATCTCAAAAGAGCTTGGCTTAAGACACTATCCAATCTTGTATACCTCATCAATATAACTGCCACTAATCCATCTTATTAGATCATACTGACTGAATTTACAACACATAAGGAAATCACATCAGATTACAAAATGGTACACAATCCTACACTACTGGGAATCATGCCCCAGACAAGTTGACAGATATTTTGGGGGGACACAATTCAATCCATGACAATCTGTATTGATTATGGCTAGTTCTAATCGTTTTTGTGAGTCAGATATAAATTATAATTGTGTTTGGATCATAAGTGAAATCTGTGTCAAGTCAGTAGAGGGTAGGGGGTGGAGTTTTACATGCTTTCTCTCAATATGGACCCAAACTCTAGTTCTCTACAGTTCTGCCTTTCTTTGCCTCCCTTGCCCACCACCCTGCCCTTAAAGTAAAAGTTAGTGTTGCTTCAATATTTGAAGGAAAAAAATTTTTAAATGATAAAACCCTATAGGTCTACAATTCCCATCTATCTGTGTCTTTTGAAACTCCAAAGCCAATGAAGTGTTACCAGCTGCTAACCATTCCTTTCAGACAGAGACTTTCTTGTAAAAACCCAATCAAATTATTTAAGGCAATCACCAGGCCTTCAGCTCACCCATTACCACACATTACACATGCTGGAGCCCAAACAACGAATCCCCCCGAGACTGTCTTATACAAAAGAATCTTGTACAAAATACAGCTGAATTTAAGTAGAGGTAGCACCATAGAGTACATTGTGCCTCCAGAAATAATCAAAAAGACGATGATCTTGGAGGCCTTGTTAAGCTAAATCTTTAGACAAAGAATCATTGAAAAGAAGTTAAAACATGCCAGTAACTATTGTGGCGAGTATTCTCTGCCTGTTTATTTTGTCATTTATATGAACATATAATTTTGGTTAAGCAGAATTCCCTTTTTATCTTCCAAGAGAATGTATGGTACATTCCATTCTGTGGATTTCATGTTTTCTATAGTTAAGGGTCTACAATAGAGGTTCCCTCTTTGGGTGAGAAAAAGTAATCAGTCATTCCTGGTAAGCCTGGCTATTCACCTTTGCTCTCGAGCTTTCTCTTTATTAGTTTGCGGCCTGCCTGTTGTGGCCAGCAGCTCCCCTTTTCAGTGTTCAGAGATTTTCCTCTTACAATGACTAAGCTCTTCCGCCTTCTTGTTCTCTATAACCAGCCACTCTTACCATGACCTTTCTTCCCAGCCTGCCTTGGATACCAGCTCCCATTTTCTATGCTCATCCTCTTAGAGGGGCCCTGGTGACACAGTGGTTAAGAGCTCAGGCTGCTAACCAAAAGGTCGCAGTTTGAATCCACCAGCTGCTCCTTGGAAACCCTGTGGGGCAGTTCTACTCTGTCCTATGGGGTCACTGAGTCGGAATCATCTCTACAGCAATGGGTTTGGTTTTATTCTCTTAGACATACTTAGGAAGTAAGGCCAAAAGCCTTTCCAAAATGCCACAGTTGACTCAGGGAATTGTAAAGAAATGTTTTTGTATTTTTATCACTGAATATAGCCCCTAACACGTGGGAGGCACGTAATAAAAGTTAGGCCTTCATATGTTTTTATGCAGGCCTTCGTTATTTCGGAGGCAGGTAATAAATTAATTATAAACAGCTACGTTTTACTTTTCTATTTGCATCATATGCGCTGTTAGTAAAACCTGCATCAGGTCTGTCAAAGAAAGCTATTCGTGCCTGGAGAATTTTCAGAACCTTGACGTGCAACCAGAAAGGTAGAACATTGACAAAGGTAGAACCATGGTGGTAACCTGTGGTGGAGCAGGCTTATGTGATAACATACAAGATAACATACATGAAAAGGCGTATCTCTCACAGGTAAAGAGTCTACCTGTTGCTAAGGCGAAAATCACCCTCTTTCTTTTGGATCAATAAATTATTCCATCTTTTTGTCCATAATAAATGGTTCACCATTTCTTGAGCAAGGACGATATGCCAGATACTGTGCTAGGCCCTAGCGATAAAAAGACAAAAACACCTGGAGCAAGGAGGTTCTAGTATCATGTGCTGTGTAAGCCCAGTATGCACACGCACCTAAAGATGCTCCATGGCTTCCATGTTAAATTATGTTTCATGGATTTGCTTGGAAATCCTATGACTTGGTATGCCTACCACAAACCCTAAGCGAAGCATTTTTCCTGGTATCAATGGGAAACACGATATTTGTAAAACCAAATTTTATATATTGAAAATATGAAGTCTGTGTCCAGAGGCGAGATGAGAAGGCAGAGAGGGTCAGGAACTGGTTGAATGGACACGGGAAATCTGGGGTGGAAAGGAGGAGTGTGCTGTCACAGTACAGGGAGAGCAACTAGGGTAACATAACAATGTATATGTAAATTTTTGTATGAGAGACTAACTTGAATTGTAAACTTTCACTTAAAGCATAACAATAAAAAAAAGACAAAAAAAGAAAATACAAAGTCTGGTTATAAAAAATTTTCAAAGCAGGAATGCAGAAGCCTTACGAAAACATTAAAAATGGGTTATTTAGCTATTTTAATACTTCTCTATAAACCAACACTGGTATTAATAAACTGTTTCCAGGGGGAAAGGGTCTATTTGACATGAAGAAATTTCAGATCTCATCAATTTTTCCTATACTACTTTAAAAAAATTTTTTCTGTCCATGTATATTCATAATCCAGTTAATTTTTCTTATCTCCTCTTACTTTTGCTTTTCTCCCATACAGGGTAATGTTTATATGTACTACAAACTATATGGCTTCTATCAGAACCTCCATCGATATATTCATCCAGAAGTGACAGCCAACTGCTGGGTAAAGATATAAGGGTAAGACTATTTAATTTAGTGTAATATTCTTTTTTTTTTTTTTTTTACCAGGTGGATATTTCAGTCCAAAAGAGGGTAGGGGCCACTAAGGCAGTGGTATCACTAGGGTTGGTTTCACTCAGTGTGATAACTCATCACTACCACCCATCGCACACCAGTCAGGGTACAGGCGGCCTGGCCATAGAGCCCTCCATTAGGTGGAGAGGAGGGTCTCTGCCTTGGCCAAAGGGAGAGAAGAGGAGCTGTGTGGAGCCATGGGAGACCAGGCCGTGGTGCTCAGCACTGGGGGGATGCCTGCCCATGAGGGAGGAGCGCCCATGAGTTACTGCACTGGGTGACACCAACCCTAGTGATGGCAGCTGCGTATAGGACAGAGTAGAACTGCCCCATAAGGTTTTCTTAGCTGAAATCTTTACGGGAGCAGATCACTAGGTCTTTTCTCCTGTGGAGTAGCTGGTGGGTTCAAACTCCCACCTTTCAGTTAGCAGCCTAACGCTTAACCATTGTACCACCAGGGCTCCTCAAATTTTTATGCTTGATAGATGATATTCAGCATGCTAGAAGGAAACATTTCCACACTTCCATTATTTTCTGACAGTGGTAACCAAATTATCTTTAGCAACTCTCTTTAAAAAGTATTTTCTGGTAAGCGGCCATCTAAGATACTCCACTGGTCCCACCCTTTCGGGAGCAAGGGAGAATGAAAAAAACCAAAGACACAAGGGAAAGATTAGTCCAAAGGGCTAATAGACCACAACTACCACAGCCTCCTCCAGACTGAGTCCAGAACAACTAGATGGTGCCCAGCTACCACCACCAACTACTCTGACAGGGATCACAACAGAGGATCCCAGACAGAGCTGGAGAAAAATGTAGAATAAAATTCTAACTAACAAAAAAAGGCCAGAGTTACTGATCTGACAGAGACTGGAGAAACCTCGATAGTATGGCCCCCGACACCCATTTAACTCAGTACTGAAGTCACTCCTGAGGTTGACCCTTCAGCCAAAGATTAGACAGGCCCATGAAACAAAAGAAGACTGAATAAGCACACCAGCCCAGGGGCAAGGGCGAGAAGGCAGAAGGTGACAGGAAAGCTGGTAACAGGGAACCCAAGGTTGAAAAGGGAAGAGTGTTGACATGTTGTGGGGTTGGCAACCAATGTCACGAAACAATCCGTGTATTAATTGTTTAATGAGAAACTAATTTTCTCTGTAAACCTTCATCTAAAGTACAATTAAAAAATTAATTAATTTTTTAAAAAAGTGTTATCTGGTAGTTACATGGATGGATTCACTGTGATAAGTCATTTAGCTGTATACTCAGAATTTGTGTACTTTTCTGAATTTAAGTGATACTTTAATTTAAAAAAAGATTTTTAAAATGTATTCCAGTGTAATTTGATGTGATATTTAGTACAGCCAGGCAAGGGTACAGTCCTTTCCTGCAGACATTTTCGGCGTGCTTGTTGTTGACAGTTGTTGTTGTTGGTGTTAGGTGCCACCGAGTCAGTTTCCACTCATAGTACCCCATGGGGAAAAAACCACACACACACACACACATCTCCAAAACCCAAGAAACTTCCTAGCCTAATTGAGGCAGAAGCCTGGGAAAAGCAGGTAGCAGTTGCAATCTGGTCCATGCCAATAAGTCAGTGTGGGTTGATTTACTTGCCAGTGTTAGAAACCCTGGTGGAGTAGTGGTTAAGAGATACAGCTGTTAATCAAAACGTCGGCAGTTCAAATCCACCAGGCACTCCTTGGAAACCCTATGGGGCAGTTCTACTCTGTCCTGCAGGGTTGCTATGAGTTGGAATCGACTCGACGGCAACGGGTTTGGTTTTTTTGATTTATTCTCACCTTCAACATTCTAAGTGATCACAAAAACACTTATCATTGCTGTGTCATCTTGCATGCAGGATGTTAAGAACTGTTCTCCGTTTGAAAAATCCCACAATGGGACCCCCATCACTCCCTGCAGTGCTGTGGCCAACAGCATGTTCAATGGTAGGTGACTTTTCTTCTCTCCTACAGTGTTCCCCTCTATAAGTATGTGAGCAGCCTAAACATCCAGATGATCACCTCTGCAGCTGAGTGGCATTGTTTTTGTTGCTGTTTTGTTTTCTCTCAATATGGGCCTAAACCCTAGTGCACTAATTTAAGGTATTTCATCTGCAAATAAATCCTCCCTTGCCAGAGACCTGAAGGAGTAGTCAGGGAACAAGAGTTAAATGGAGCTTAAGAGTATTTTTCAATAATTGGATCAACCTTGGCAGGAAAAAGAATGTTCGTGTGATTTTAGCATCTATGGCATGTAGGCATGTTGAAAGTCTGCTAAAAACCCTGATTTATTTTTCCGCTGTGTCTGGTTCTGCTCTTCCAAGGATGGCAAGAATCGCTTGCATCTCTGACTGACACAGTTTTTAATTTCCTTACAGACACGATTATTCTTTCATACAACCTTAATTCATCTATACATATCCAAGTCTCAGTGTTAAGGAGTGGAATTACATGGTGGACAGATAAATATGTCAAGTTCAAGAATCCAAGTTCCAGTAATCTTTCCAGTGCATTTGCAGGTGAGAGCCATTCACTAGCCTGATATTCATATCTCCTCACAAGAACACTTTTTTTTCTTTTAATGTTTGGGGAGATATTTGTGATTCCTCTTTCTTTATTCCTTCATTGACCTCCTTTCTGCTCTAGCTTTCCCTATCTTACAGACACATCCATCACATCCCTATCAGAAGCGGAAAATTATTGATGCCCTGGCTCCTTCCCATTTACTATTAGGAAAAAGGTAATACTTTAATGAATTTATTGCTTGTAGTTAGAAGGACCTTGTAATTTATCAAATAAACTGGTGCCCTTTAAGAGTGAAAAGGTCATTATATAGCAATTACATACTTTTTCAAAATCCTTATTTATTGACGAACAAATTGTCATTATATATTGGAGGACCTGTAAAACAATTATATTAAAAACTACTTTCAAAAATTCAGTTCTTTCAAAAATTAAAATAATGTGTATATTACATCAACTTAAAGAAACTTCTTTAATTATTATCTAAACATTAAAAGATAACATTGTTATTGTTAGGTGCCGTCAAGTCGGTTCCAACTCATAGCAACCCTATGTACAACAGAATAGAACACTGCCCAGTCCTGCGCCATCCTCACAGTTGTTGCTATGCTTGAGCCCATCGTTGCAGCCACTGTGTCAGTCCATCTCATTGAGGGTCTTCCTCTCTTTCGCTGACCCTCTACTTTACCAAGACTGATGTCCTTCTCCAGGGACTGGTCCCTCCTGATAACATGTCCAGAGTATATGAGACAAAGTCTCACCATCCTCCCTTCTAAGGAGCATTCTGGCTGTACTTCTTCCAAGACAGATTTGTTGTTCTTCTGGCAGTCCATGGTATATTCAATATTCTTTGCCAAAACCATAATTCAAAGACATCAATTTTTCTTCAGTCTTCCTTATTTATTGTCCAGCTTTCACATACATATGAGGGAATCAAAAATACCATGGCTGGGTCAGGCTCACCTTAGTTCTTAAAGTGACTTATTTGCTTTTTAACACGTTAAAGAGGTCTTTTGCAGCAGATTTGCCCAATGCAATGTGTCATTTGATTTCTTGACTGCTGCTTCCATGGGCATTGATTGTGGATCCAAGTAAAATGAAATCCTTGACAACTTCAATCTTTTCTCCATTTATCATGATGTTGCTTATTGGTCCAGTTGTGAGGATTTTTGTTTTCTTTATGTTGAGGTGTAATCCATACTGAAGGCTGTGGTCTTTGATTTTCATGAGGGCTTCAGTCCTCTTCGTTCTCAGCAAGCAGGTTGTTGTCATCTGCATATCTCAGGTTGTTAATGTGTCTTCCTCAATCCTGATGCCTCATTCTTCTTCATACAGTGCAGCTTCTCGGATTATTTGCTCAGTATACAGACTGAATATGTGTGGTGAAAGAATACAACTCTAATGCATACCCTTCCTGATTTTAAACTACACAGTTTCCCCTTGTTCTGTTCAAGTGACTGCCTCTTGTTCTATGTACAGATTCTGCATGAGCACAATTAAGTGTTCTAGATTCCCATTCTTCAAAATGTTAGCCATAATTTGTTATGATCCACATAGTAGAATAACCTTGCTTAGTCAGTAAAACACAGGTAAATACCTTTCTGGTATTCTCTCCTTTTGGCCAAGATTCATCTGACATCAGCATTATGTTCCTCGTCTGCATCCTCTTCTGAATCCGGATTGAATTTCTGGCAGTTCCCTGTTGATGTACTGCTTCAGCTACTTTTGAATGATCTTCAGCAAAGTTTTACTTGCATGTGATATTAATGATATTGTTTGATAATCTCTGCATTCTGTTGGATCACCTTTCTTTGGAATGGGCACAAATATGGATCTCTTCTAGTCGGTTGACCAGGTAGCTGTCTTCCAAATTTCTTGGCATAGACAAGTGAGTGCTTCCAGCATTGCATCTATTTGTTGAAACATCTCAACTGGTATTCCATCAATTCCTGGAGCCTTGTTTTTTGACAATGCGTTCAGTGCAGCTTGGACTTCTTCCTTTAATACCACTGGTTCTTGATCATATGTTACCTCCTGAAATGGCTGTTCATTGACCAATTCTTTTTGGTACAGTTACTGTATGTATTCCTTCCATCTTCTTTTGACACTTCCTGCATCATTCAATATTTTCCCCATAGAATCCTTCAGTATTGCAACTCAAGGCTTGAATTTTTTCTTCAGTTCTTTCAGCTTGAGAAGCACAAAACATATTCTTCCCTTTTGATTTTTTAACTCCAGGTCTTTGCGCATTTCACTATATAATACTTTGTCCCCTCAAGCTGCCCTTTGAAATCTGTTCAGCTTTTTCACTTCCTCATTTCTTCCATTTGCTTTAGCTGCTCTATGTTCAAGAGCAAGTTTCAGAGTCCCTTCTGACATCCGTTTTGGTCTTTTCTTTCTTTCCTCTCTTTTTAGTCACCTTTTTCTTTCTTCATGTATGATGTCCTTGATGTCATCCCACAACTCAGCTGGTCTTTGGTCATTAATGTTCAATGTGTCAAATCTATTCTTGAGATGATCTCTAAATTCAGATGGGATATACTCAAGGTTGTATTTTGGCTCTCATGGGCTTGTTTTAATTTTCTTCAGCTTCAACTTGAACTTGCTTATGAGCAATTGATGGTCTGTTCTGCAGTCAGCCCCTTGCCGTGTTCTGACTGATGATATTGAGCTTCTCTATCATGTTTCCATAGATGTGTTTGTAGTTGATTTAATTCTTGTGTATTCCATCCAGCAAGGTCTATGTGTATAGTCACTGCTTTGTTGTTGAAAAAAGGTATTTGCAATGAGTAAGTAGTTGCTTTTGCAAAATTCTATCATACAATCTCCCACATTGTTTCTATTACTCACCAAGGCCATATTTTCAAACTACCAATCCTTCGTCTTTATTTCCATCTTTCACATTCCAATCACCAGTAATTATCAGTGCATCTTGATTGTATGTTTGATCAATTTCAGACTGCAGAAGTTGGTAAAAAATCTTCAATTTCTCATCTTTGGCCTTGGTGGTAGGTGCATAAATTTGAATAATAGTCATATTAACTGGTCTTCCTTGTAGCTGTATGAATGTTATCCTATCACTGACAGCATTATACTTCAGGATAGATCTTGAAATACTCTTTGTGACAGTGAATGTGACACCATTCCTCTTCAATTTGTCATTCCCAGCATGGTAGGCCATATGATTGTCCGATTCAAAATGGCCAATACCAATCCACTTCAGCTCACTAATACCTAGGATATCGATCTTTATGCATTCCATTTCATTTTTGACAACTTCCAATTTTTGTAGATTTATGCTTCATACATTTCACCTTCCGATTATTAATGTCTGTTTGCAGCTGTTTCTTCTCATTTTGAGTCGTGCCACATAGCAAATGAAGGTCCCGAAAGCTTTACTCCATCCACGTCATTAAGGCCAACTCTACTTTGAGGAGGCAGCTCTTCCCTAGTCCTATTTTGAGTGCCTTCCAACCTAAGGTGCTCGTCTTCTGGCACTATATCAGACAACGTTCCACTGCTATTCATAAGGTTTTCACTTGCCAGTTTTTTCAGAAGTAGACCACCAGGTCCTTCTTCCTAGTCTGTCTTAGTCTGGAAGCTCTGCTAAAACCAGTCCACCATGGGTAACTGTCTTAGGCTGGGTTCTCTAGACAAGCAAAACCAGTAAAGCGTATAAATATATATATAGAGAGAGAGATTTATATCAAGGAAACAGCTCACGCAATTGTAGAGGCTAGAACGTCCTAAGTCCGTGGATCAGGGTAGAGGCCTCTCCTAAGTCATGCAGCTGCAGAAACTGGCAAGCCCAAGATCAGCAGGTCAGAGAGCAGGGCTCCTGCTCACAGGCTGTGAAGGTTGACGAATTCCAAGATTGGCAGGCGAGACCACAGGGTTTCTCCTGATTCATGTAGCTGCAGGGGCTGACGAACCCAAGATCAGCAGGTCAGAGAGCAGGGCTCCACTCACAGGCTGTGAAGATTGATGAATCCCAAGGTTGGCAGATAAGCTGACAGCTCAAGTCCCAAGAACTGGAGATGAGATGGCAGGAGGCAGCCGCAGGATCCAGAGAGAGCAAAAAGCCAGAACGTCTGCTTATTTTCAGATGCGGGCCACACCCCCAAGGAGACTCACTTTCATCTGATTGGCTACTCACAGTATATTCAATCATGGGAGTGATCACATTAAAACACTGAGAATCATGGCCCAGCCAAGCTGACACACAATCTTAACCATCACAGTGACCCTGTTGGTATTTGAAATACTGGTGGCATAGCTTCCAGCATCACAGCAACCAGCAAGCCACCACAGTACAACAAATTAACAGATAACATAAGGAGAATAAGTATTCTGTATACACATTCACATACTTTAATCAGTATTTTTGCAATATCTGTCTTCATTACATGCCCTGTATTTTCCTAAAGAATTTATTCTTTTTACTATGGCTTTATTATTTTTAATTTTTCACAAAATTGTCTACAGTCTTTTTCAAACCTGCATTTTAGAGTTAATGAATTTTAAATTGTTCACTCCTTTAATTTATTCTTTTCTTTTGACCTAATGTTTTTTACTGAAAAAAATATTCTGTAGGTGCTGAGTTACCTATTATACTCACAACCAATTTTAGTAAATGAAAGGTATTCTTACTTTCAATTTTTTTTATACTGAATATGCTAATACTTTAAGCCAAATACTTTCATCAGCATCTTCTTTTTTACTTCACATAAACTTTCTCTATTTATAATTCTTCTGAATGTATTACCAAATTTAGATGCTACAAAATCTTAGGTCTTCTCAATGTCCCTTTATTTTAATGGGAAAGCAAATTTTATCCAGTTAGAAATAGGAGTTCCAACAGGAATCTTCATATAAGTCAAGATATTCCAAAGCACAATTATCAAATTTAAAAATTTGATTGTATACAGATTGTGAACTTTCATTATGTAATATGTTCAATTAGTCCCTTGCTTTTATAGGGAAAATTTCAATATCTTCCTGTTTGCAAGCTTGACTTTCAATAATTACAATTCGCTAAATTGCAAAAAACTAAAATTTTGGCATTATATATTTTAGAAACTTTGTTTAAGGGTTTTCAACTATTTTAAATAAAATGCAACCAAAAGTTATAGGGCTCATTTACAAAAAAAGTTCAAGATCATTGGAGGACACTTCAAATGATACATAAAAAAATAATTAAAGGCTCAAACATTTATAAAATTTTGATTTATGATGAGCAGCAAAAAGACTACATATACTGCCATGCTGAACTATTTCTTTAATTTAACATCAGTGTCATTCTGAACATTTTGTAGTTCTGCTTCTCTGTGAGTATGCAAAAATATTTGTAAATTTGTACAACTATTATTTTGATTAATATAAATAATAGATTAATCTTCTTTTGATTAATAGCCTATTGTAGCTTTTTTGGATATAATTGTGAATTATGTATATTCCACAACCAAATGTGAGCACATTTCTTCCCTATAAATTTCTCAATTTACAAAGAACATTATCTTTAATGTTGTGCCCTGCCAAACTTGCATGGTGTTATCACTATAACACCAAACAATTTGAACTTCGTTGTTGAATTTTTGAACTGAATTTGAAGTAACATTTTTAATAATGTCAGAAGTTTCACCTTTAGAGACTGAACTTCCAAAAGCTTTGTTTGGATCCATGAGGTGAGGAAAAAAAAATCAAACCGTTATTAGAATTAATTTGTCTTATTTTTCTATTTGAAGCATCTGAAGACATTTATGTAAAGCTAGCCTCATTTTGACAACTTACACTGTTCTTTTTGTGCTACTGGAGCCAACACATTGAAAGCTTTTCTTCAGTTACCAAAAAAAAAAAAAACAAACAAACTTAAATTGAAAAATGAAACACTGATACAGGACACTCATTTGACCCATGAAAAGTCATGTTTACACAATGACATATAAATCAACTTTCTGTAGTTCTAGTTAAAGCATTTCTTTGGACATAACCTTTTAAAAATAACTACCAATTTTTGAAGTCAATTCCAACATTCTTAAACAGATCTGTGTGTTTTGATTTCCATGCGGTTAGTTACATCACTGTGGTTCCCATGGTGGGTGGTAAATGCCAACCAATGTTGCAAGTATCACAGTCATCATCAACTTTCTTGAGAAACTATACTTAATTTTACATTAAACATGTATGCTCCCTTTTTTTTAACTTTTTGCAGCTAGAAGGATTTATTAAAAATAAAAAAACTGATACCAAACAACAAAATAGTTATATATTTATATCATATAATTAATAGCAAAACCACTGTTGCAAGAAGGTTCAAACTACTCTCAGCAAGACTGGTCAGCATCTATTTCCAACACATTCACGTAGGCATGACCTCACCTATAAGTTTCCATGCTTCCCACTGACTGGCAGCCTGGCAGCTTTTTGCATCTCACAGGCCAAAACAGAAGCTATGGCAGAACTGACTGGAATGTTAAATGGCCAGCAGGGGTTGTAGCATCACTTCTTCTCCCAACCCCACCTAAGACAGCTAGGAGTCAGATGGGCCAAGCTGCTAGTGTCCAAGCATATTTTGTTTTTATCAGTAAGAGCCCTGCATGCTATCTTAGAACAGGATATATTATAGTATTATGTTTCGGTGGAAAGTGTTTTTGGTTGTCTTTCACATATAATCATATGTTAACGTGAGAGCTCCATTCACTGAACATGGGTGTCTCACACACTGTTAACCGAGACAATGGCAGAAGCTGGTAGGATGAAATTGCATGCACATTATCTGTCTGGGACAAATGCCAAATCAAATGGGCTACTGGGACAACGGTCATAAACTGGGACTACCCTGGGCAAACTGGGATATATGATCACTATATTTGTAAATGAATTGCTAGTTTTTTAAATGAACTCAGCGACATTCTATAGTTTTGTCTTAACACACAATCATAAGGCCTGTATCACAGGAAGCTCTTGGCTTTCTCTCAGCTACTGTTGCTCTTTGTTCTTACCTTTATTGTAAGAATTACATTATTCTGTAGCAGTCTGTTTGCATACCTTCATTTCAGACTGTAGATTCCTTGAGGAAAAGGATTGAATCTTATGCAATAGTGCATCCCTGGATCTTGATACATAGTGAGCAGTCAAGACATACTTATTGTTAAATGAGTGGATGAATATCAATGGCCCAACTGAACTTGCAAAATGAAGGAAGCTGGTGCCTTTTAGAACGTGCTCCTCGTACTCTCTGGGATCACGGGATGGGGGTGGGATCAGGGGTTATTATGGGAAGGCATGCTTGAACCTGCAATTTTTAACAAGCTCCATGGGTGATTATCATGTCAGTGGCCCATAGGACACATTGTCTTGGGTCATGAGCTCTGGGCAGAATAGAGAGGGTGAGATTTGCAGTACAGGCACCAAAGGCAATTTCGATTTTAATCAAAGTTCTGACAACAGTGATTAAAGTTTTGGGAAAGGTGTTATTTTCACCAAAATAGGTAGCTCCACAATGTTTGCAGAGGAAATTTCTCCAGCCAAAGATTATTTCTAGAGGAAGTGTAAGTATACAAACATACTTAAACAGATTAATCCAACTGGACTTAGCACAAGTACCACAGCCCACACTCAGAAATATGTCTGGATTTATTTTAGGAGTTTAGTCAGTAGTCAATTGAGAAAGAGTTGTTCCCTCCTAGCATTTTGGTATTCAACAAACACAGTAGAACCAGCTTTAAGGAAGTAAAAAGTTCACTAATAATATAAAATTTAGGATGGTTTTTATTATGAACTTCTGTCAAATTAACTGGAATCTTTCATTCTTTTATTAAGCATTTTTGAACACCTCCTATGTGCCAGGCACTAGACTAAATGCCCGCAGAAAAAAAGATGAGGAAGACACTGTTCTCAAGAGTCTCCCGTAGAGTGAGAGAGACAGACATACCCACTGTTGTAGAGTGGAAGTATGAGAATAGGGGTAAACGTCACAGGTTCATCTCCTGGCACAGCCCCTCCACCCTGTGCTTCCAACGTTCCTGCAGCACCCAAACCTACCAGGCTCCCTGGCTTTGGAGCAGCCTTGGAACATCTTTGCTGTCCACCTCCTCCTATATAGCAAGTCCCACTCCTGGCTTCCAGCTTTGAGCCCGAGACAGAGCACTGCAGTGAACATCCACGTAACTCAATCTGCATGCACATCCATGCTTATTTCCTTACAATACAGGTCTAGAAGTGGAATTTCTGGGCCCAAATTGTATGCAAAATAGTAAAGTTTTGATGCACGTTCCTAGGTTGCCCAGAGATGTTGCCAATCCGCACATCTACCTGCTGAGTGTGAGCCTTCCCATTTCCCCACTGCCTCATCAATCATTGTCATTCTTTTTTTCTTTAGGTAGTAACCAATTTTTAGATTAAAACGGTGTCTTCTTTTAATTTTCTCTCTTTGGATTATTAGTGAAGTTAAAGAAAATAAAGACTTTCTCCAAGATGTTATCATCCTAATAAAACCACCATTATCATTTTGCTCTACCTATTTTTTCAGTGTTTTATTTGTATTTTACATGGTTGAAAACATAATGTACATATAATTTGACATTCTGCTCTTTTTTATCCTGATGAAATATATCATGAGCATTCTCCCCTAAGTTTCTTATAACTGTTATTTTTAACGATTTCGTGCTCAGGTAGCTTACACACACACACAGTTTTTTTTAAAGTCTAATTTCTTTTTGTCTTCCCTCAAGAATGCAGAAGTTCTTTCATTCTTTACATTCTAAAGAAAACAGGAGGGCATTGATGATTCTTCTCTGCCATGTCCCTCATTTGCTTCCCACAGGAACCACAAAGCCCCCAGGCTGGCCTAAGCCTGTCTATGACCTGGATGAAGAGGATCCGGGAAACAATGGCTTCGTCAAGGATGACTTCATTGTGTGGATGCGGGCAGCAGCCTTTCCCACTTTCAAAAAACTGTACCGTTGTCTCAGTCAAATACAGTACTTTATTGAAGGCTTGCCTGCTGGTAATTATAGTTTCCACATAACCTACAGTATCCTTTTATACCACTTTTCTTTCTGCAGATGAAGGAAAATTGGTGTCCTTCTGGCTAATGGTTGTTGAATTATTTTATTTCTATGCTTTTATATTCTCCACATCAAATATGTATACAAAAAAAAAAAGGAAAGGAAAGAAAGAAATGCATAGTTTTTACAGGTAATACTGTCATTCCACCATCATATAGCTGTTTGTCTCCACCTTACGTACTTAAATGTTAATAGTGTTGTTGTTGTTGTTAGGTGCCGTCCCGTCAGTTCAAACTCATAGCCACCCTATAAGACAGAGTAGAACTGCCCCATAGGGTTTCCAAGGAGCAACTGGTGGCTTTGAGCTGCCGACCTTTTGATTAGCAGCTGAGCTCTTAACTGCTATCCCACCAGGGCACCATGTTCATAGCAGTATCAGGTAACTGGTTATGGATGAATAGGGAAGAACTATTTACGACCCCCAAGAAAGATTATATAACACTGTGCCTAGAGATCAAAAAGTGAGGGGAAGCATGCTGTATAGAATGGGATGAGATGGAGTACCATGGAAATAAAGAGATAATGGATAAGAAGTAAATTTGGAATATGGACTGAAAATACCCAAAAACTGTGAGAGATTATAGAAACTTTCAATGTTGGCAAAATATCATAGACCAAGCAGTCCCTGGGTGGTGCAAATGTTTAACTCACTTGGCTGCTAACTGAAAGATTAGAGGTTCAAGTTCACCCAGAGGCACCTTGGAAGAAAGGCCTGGTGACCTACTTCTGAAAAACCAGCCATTGAAAACCATATGGAGCAGTTCTATTCTGACACACGTGGGGTTGCCATGAGTCAGAATCAACTTAACAGCAACTGGTACCAGTATCATAGACCAAGGGATCCCTGAACATAAAGGGCCCATAAAAAAAAAAATGCCATGGAGTAGAACTGTCCCATAGGGTTTCCAAGGCTATAATCTTTAGAGAAGCAGACTGCCACATCTTTCTTCTGAAGAGCAGGTGGTGGGTTCAAACCACCAACCTTTCGGTTAGCAGCTGAGCACTTAACCAGTGTGCCACCAGGGTTCCTCAGACTCAAGGGGCAGGTCCAGTCAATCCAACCTACATGAGGAGTGCTTGGAGCTCTGCACTGAAGATGCTGTGTTCTGTCCTCTCCTAGGTGTGAAGCCAGTAAGCAGAAGTCAACATCTTGGTTATGGACATATGGTCCCAGTTAGGAGACATATGCTTTCATATGAGACTCTGAATTTTTCACTTAGTTTAAAAATACAAATGTAACTCTTGATTTAAAAACAAAGAGCATTTAAGTTTAAACTGGCACCAAACACTATCTTTAAGAAATGATATATTTCAACAGAATTTACACACTCTGGTCTTTAAAGTCCGTTTCTAATTTTTCCTGAGGCAGAGTTCTCTTAGAGGCCGAATCTTTCCAGGGCTTGTACATAGCTTTGAAACTTCAGCCTGCTTAGACGTCATCGTCACCTGTAGGCTGTCAGAGCTCCTGGCTAAGAGTCAGCCAGTGGGATCCCAGCCAGGCCAGAGGGCCTTAACACAAAAATTGTTCACCTCCTTAGTCCCTTTACCTCTTAGGAATCTTGAATAAATTTGGGAGGAAAAGTGAACAACTGCATGGGCTCCAGTTCCTTGCTCCATCTTCCTTTCTATGCTAGGGTAGAGATGTCGACACCCCCATTCTGACAGGGGAGTGGGGACATTCCTCACTGAGAGAAAACGTCACAGAAGTACTTGCCTTTTTTTTTTAAAGGTAATACCATCTGCACCTCTCAGCTTTTTGCCACCTTTTGTTCACTGATCAGGAGTGTAATGTCCCTCAGTTTGTTCCTTTAGCAGATCTCTAACTATTCTATGAAAACTGAAGCCACAAATTGATCTCTCTTATGGAGCATTATAGGAGCCCTGGTGGCACAGTGGTTAAGCACTTGGCTGCTAACCTAAAGGTCGGCGGTTCGAACCCGCCAGCCACTCCATGGGAGGACGATGTGGCAGTCTGTATCCATAAAGATTACAGCCTTGGAAACCCTATGGGGCAGTTCTACTCTGTCCTATAGTGTTGCTATGAGTTGAAATCGATTCGACGGCAATAGGTTTGCTTTTGGTTTATACAGCATTATAGGTACAGAGCAAAGAGTGGGCTATAGAATGTTACCCTCCCTTCCCCCAAAAAATTTTTAAGTAAAAATTGAAAGTTGTTTGATGATGATACTGCAAATTGGAACTTCTGCTCCTTTGTTGTGAGTGGGTTACTAGTAAAGCAGTTATAGTTGCAATCAAGAAACATGAGAAAAGCATCGTGCACTGCTGTCTCCCAATACATTACAAGGAGTGGGGTTGAGGGGGAGAGGAAGGGAGGCCATGTTCCGCACAAGGGATATTCTCTCTGGACATGATGTCCTTGCATGGCCTCATTCACAGTCATGTTTTAATGCTGACATGACTCTCAGATCTAAATCTCTCACCCGGAGCTTCAATCCTGAGCTTCAGTGCTATACTTGCCCTGCCTGCGTTGACCCTGGTGTTAGCAACATCCAACCAGCCCAATGCACTGGCTAATATGCAAGTAGAAGAGCTACGCCTGGGCTACAGAAAATGCCTACAGCTTCTAAGAGAGCAAAGATGTTCTGTGTGTGGTGCAGAGACCCTCTTAACGGAACCGAGGGAGGGAGCAAAAAGCCAGGCAGATGAGGTGAGGTGGGACCCTAGGACCTGGTGACAATGAGGAATTTTTATGTAAAAGAAAAAGAGAGACTACTTTCCTAACAAGTTTCCTTCTGCCTTTAAATAGCATGTTGCCAAGTGATTGGAGGCCTTTTAAGAGCTTTGCTGGGAAAAGCCTCTGTCCTGTGCCGTTGCTATGAGAAGCATTTGTTTGTTTATTAGTTTGGTTTACAAAAGGCACCAGATGTTTAAAACTTTCAAACCACATGCATAATCAAAATGACATCATTAAAATGCTAACTATAGCAAACCCACTTCAAATACTTTCTCCCCAGCAATGGGTGATGCTGGGCTTCTCAAAACCCAAAAAAACCGCACCTACCTCTGGCTTTCCCACCAAAAATGTTTTGCCATCTAATTTATTTTTAAGAATTTTTTTCCTGAGATTGGAACTCAGAACTTACCCTGGTAAGAACTTAGTCTATCCTGATTCATAAACAAAAAGTTAAGTTTGCTGTAAAACCTATTAGTATCCATTTACTTCTTTGAGTTTGCCAAAGGAAATTAATTTTTTTTTTCATTATTTAGTTGTCTTTAAGTCATTCAGATCTATCTGCATCAGAATTGTCTTTCATATATTACAACTATATACAGAGAAACCTTGTGCTTACTTTATTTTATTGCAGCAAGATACACAGTACTGCTTGGTAAAGATTAGGTTGAACCATATGCAATTGAATATTCAACCATGTTTTACCTACAAAAGCAGCAATGTCATATGGCTCAGCCTAATGTACTTAGCATATGCAATGGTGGAGATGAGAAGTGCTGAGACAAATCCTTAACAGGGCATCTTAGACTTTCCAGTAACCAGGTTCCAAGGAAAAAAAGCAGTTGTTCTTTCCACCCTGATGTGGAGTGGAGGCGGTGGCCTTTTCTTGGGTCTCGCCTACTCTGTGACAGGAGCCCTGAAGTGGCTGGCCTTCTTTTTGATGATGCCAGTTCACCTAAGAATGAACAAAAGGAAAACATTCTTTCTCCAGCAGTAAAGTCAAGCTTTAAGAAGAAAAAGTAGAAAACAGAAATGGATGGTGAAGGAACAGAATCTAAGGCATCTGACAAGGCTTGAAATGAGTGGGATATTTGAACAAGGGGACCTGAATTGACTGACCAAATGGAATCCCAGATAGATAAACAATGAGAATTTCAGAGTTTTTTAAAACAAGGAGAGAGGTTCCGGCAAAATGGCGCTCTAGGCAGAAGCACCACACCGTCCCTCCACAGCAAAGATCCAAAAAACTAAGCCAAACAGAGAATACAACAATCCTGAAACCCTAAAACATCAAATGAAGAGATAAAGAACTCAGCCAAGCACCAAATGGAG